CAGTGGCACCTTGCAGCAGCCCCTTCAACTCCTAGATAACGTCAGGGACCGGCAAGCCCGCGAGCGACTGGTGGATGTGTGCACGGCACCGAGCTTCTGCCTCCAGCACTAATTATACTTCCAAACAGTACCTGTAAATTAGTCCAACAGGAAGCAGCTGTGCGCAACGTAGTAATACATGGTCGGTCTATGTACTGGCTTGTACATTGTAGCTTGTAGGGCAGCTTGCCATACAAGCAGTTCATCTGCCCAGAGTCGTGAGGTTCAAGGAAAGTTTTCGCGGTGCATGAAAAGTGCACCTCGTCGGATTTGCGCAAGCGATCTTCGGTGTAGGGGGAGGGAATCCAACACAAGAACAAGTTGACTTGGTTTCCCTGTGTCCGTTCAGTTTGCGGGAACGTTGCGGCTCCGCTACATCAACGGATGGTGCTTGCAGAAGTGGTTTTGGTTTGATTGTGTTTGGACGTGAGGACGCTGCGGAGGAGGCCTGAACTGGGCAAAGTCAGTTGTGTAATGTTGCTAGTGTTTTCGCGCAGTTGGCAAGGTCAAAGACTGCGGTGGTGACTCGGTCGCACAAAGGAGGTTGCCTCGAAGACCTCTAGTCGTACCTATGACGAAGATATGGAAGAGAAATTCTAGTAAGAGTAACAAGCCCATGGACATCCCATGGGCTGCAGACTTCAAGTGCAGGCTGCAGGGACCCAGACATCCAAATTAACCCGTAATACAGGCTGACGCCACATGTCGTTTAGAAGTTCAACTCAGGATGAGCGTCCGCGAGATTGATGAGGCGAAGATCTCAGTCACCATTGTAGCTTTTCGGGATTCCACGTCTCCTGCTCGCAACAGTCGCCCCCAGAAACGGAAACGACTGCAACCCTGCTGTGAACAGCACACTAGCCGATGTCAGCTTCCCTTGGAATATCCTCATCCAGACCGAAGCTTCAGTGAAATTAAGTTTTAGTGCGACCAGCCTGTGCAATCAGCAGGCTCGGCAGATGTAGGCACATCATCGCTATTTAATGCACACCTGCCTTCGGGTTTAGGCCTATGAGATGGGTGTTTGGATGGTCTCAACAGAACCTTGGCTGTACAAGCTGTCAACTTTACCCCTTCAGCTCTGGGTGGCGGGGCCCTCTGTTCTGGTAGTGTATCCAGAGAGCATCTTTGAAGCACCCCATTCATTTTGTGAGTAAGTCTGAGGCCTTTGCCCGGCTTCCCTCCGTCGACCCAAAGGAGGCGAAGTCAGGGCTTTCTGCCTGTTGAAGCTACTTCTCTCATTTTGTAGAGTGTTTTTGTCCGGGGTGCTCGGGTCCTGGGAAGGATGCACTGGATGTTGAATCGCATGGCTGAGCCCGGAAAGCACTCCGCTAAAGGGATACGCCATCAAAGCAGTCACCGCTGTTGCCAATATGAGAGAGTGTCTCTATCGAATTACTCTCCCTCAAGGCAAACATTGCCGTCTGTATTTGCCCAGAATACTCCTTCTTTAATTACGGTGTTTGAGGCATCAAGCCGTAGGTGCATGCCTCACAAAGCTGCACATCCCTTGGGCACGGAAGTTCGCACACAGAATAGGTCCCGAGCGAAGCCCGCGATCTGGGACGACCGGAAGCAGTGCCAGTCTCAGCCATGGTTCGAGCTGAATCGTCACAGTAGTTGTATCTGCACAGTCACGTCTCGACGACCTAGCATACTGATAATACTGTTGGAACATGGTTGTGGCGTCGCAGGTGTGTTGCTCTTTGTAGCATGTTGAATCCATCGACTGAATTTGATAAAATCCTTATAGGGGTTGAGATTGGGCAGTCGGGTCTTCTGGGCTGTCCGCAGGAGTTAGGGTGTGAGGGGGTTCAGAGATCAGCTAGAACTTCCCCCGTTTGGGACTATGGTGGTATCTTCCCCACGAAGATCCAAAAAGTCTGCCCATCTCTTCTTTCGCATATCGGCAACCCTTATTCGCCAAGACAAGCACCCCGACGCTCAAAGTGGTTGCACAGTGTGCTTGCATCGGTGTTCGCACACGGACTCAGAAAGGGCTCCAAAGAGAGATCGCATCGCCCGCCCAGCCTCCCGCTGGCGGCTCGGCGATGCTGCCGGTGCATGCGTCGGGGGCTTTGCACGGCTCGGGAGCTATCCAAGTTGCCTCAAGTTTGTGTGACTGGTTGCGGCTGACGAAGCTACTGGCAAGGGCTTATAGGACTGGACCGGAGACTTGAACAAGGATTTTGACATGTGCGCTTAGCCGAAGACCAGGGAGCTTCGCGAAACCTTTCGAATCGAGCGTGGTTTGATGCTGATGTTTGTTTGTGAGTGTTGAGAGGCCATATGCAAAGTTCCTTTTTTGACCCAGACAACTGATTTCCCGGGCTGAGTAGCACAGGGAACGGAATCTTAGACCTTGCCCCCCCAAAAGCGGCGGCAGTCTCATCGTCGTCAAAGCCGCCACGCGACAAGCACGTTCATACGATATGTATTCCTGCGTGAATAACCTTCCTTCGAGGCCTGGCGCCGCAGTGAACGTGGCCCCTCGTCATCTTGGCGTCGTTTTCCTGATTCGCGGGCTTTGAGCGGCTCTGGTCGGTGGAAGCCCTTGGTTTGGAAGCCTGGCCCAGATGCAAAGGCTCTGAATTACTGTATGGATGTCCTTCCCTGCAGCAATCGAGACCTCAGGCGCTCGACCCTGGATCGGGCCCGGAAGCTCCCAAAAAGCCAGACCACGTAATATGACATTGACAAGACTGCTGCTAGAGTCACCTGCTCTTATTAATGAAAAATGAGTGATCCTTTATGACTCATTACGTTTTGTATAGTAGGCCAAGATGTTCAGCTCTTGTTGTTTAGAGCCGGCATTTAGATGACCTTTGACTGCCTTCTTCTAGGCCATAACCTTTCTTAAGCCTTACAGTAAGCTTTAAGACGTTTTTCCTCAACTTAGCTACGAAAGAACCACCAAGCGCAGCCTTCACAATAATACCATGAAGAGCCCAGAGCAAGATCGATACAGAATACAAGAAGCAGCAACATTCCTTGGCATGGTGATCTCAACTACCGAAACCTTTCAACCAACTCTTCCCGCAGTTCTGAGAACTGGAGTCTGCCCAAGGTCAGCGGCGGAGGCGGCCCTAAGGCATGCGAGGGAAAGCTTGCATTCAAATAAGAGAGGATTCAGTGCTTAGCGCTTTATGGTCTAGCAAGGTAGTTTGGGCTTGTAAATACACCTACTTGAGAAGCTATAAAGTCCGGGCATGGTTGGAGATGATCTGGGTGCAGGTCACGGAGGGTTCAAATAGAGCTGCACGATTGGGGACCGGGATTTCGGCGTTCAGGACTTCGATCTAGAATCTGGCCGAAGGAGTATCTGAGTATCGAAGCGCAGTCTTTAGACCCGGGTCCCCCTGAAGCCTGGAGACTACCTGCACAAACCAGCGACAGAGAGAGAGAGAGAGAGAAAACAAAAAACAAGCGCATGTGTGTTTCAATGCGGTCCGTTTGAAATGAACCAGAACGAAGTTCGGCAAGTCACCATGATCGCTGAAACTTGCATCGAGCTCTTAGCATTTTGTTCGCAGTGACCCTGAAAAAACCAAGGGAGGATGGCACGGCTCCCGCGCAGTGCGCGTTGTTCTGTCCTTGCCTTCTACTGTCGTGTCACTCGTAGGTATGACTCACACTCTTGTCTAGGATTCAACCAATTCACCCTCGAACAAGGGAAGCTCAGCTCCTAGTACTTCCGTGTGAACGTCGTTTTTCTCCAACTGCTGCTGCATCGTCAACACGTTTGGTCTTTATACAACAATGCTTCGATAGTTTCCCCAGTGATACTGACACTTGATGTGTAAAGTCAGGCTTGACTTGTAAGAGGAGGGGTTCGAGGAATATGATGCTTCCACGCTTTTTCAGTCGAACCATTATGCTCGAAACATATCGAGGAGAAAAATCCCCAGTATGTTTAGTGTATCAGCTCACGGAAAGTATCGCGGATCTGAAGCCGATGTCTTCGAGAGTGTGATCAGTGACAGTACGCCACCGTAAAGTTCAGGGCTTTGGCCGTGTTCAGGTGACCACACTTACTGCCCTACTCCCGAACACAAGGGCTCGGGTGAGCTTGAAGCCCGAGGGAGGGAGGGACAGAAAGAGAGAGAGAGAGAGGCAGCAACAGCAAGAGCGAGAGAGTCAGCTCACTCTAGGGTATGCAAGACGAGCTGCCGGATGCAGGAAAGAGAAAAGCAATAGGGACTTACAGAGCCGAAGGTCGTGATATTCTGCTTGGACTGGAGCGCATCCATGAAGTCCAACGACACCAGGACGGGTCGGCGGGTTTCTATCGTTGCAGCTATGTAGTTCGACTAGGAAACAAAGAAACGGCTCAAGCGAATCTTTCAGCTAACCCATTGCATGATCTCGAAGCTCCTGGCCGGACTAAACTCCATATGACTAGACACAGGATGCTGACGGCATTTCAGCCACAATCCAGCGACTAGCCTATGCACCCCCTGGAAGATTTGATGGGTTCTGCCCCGTAGACGAAGAGCTGCGACCAGGACGCAGTACAATCGATTTCAGACTTGCGTCCAGTGCCGCCCACAGTCCGTCCTGCTTCGTGGAGGGAGGATGTGTTGCTTCGCCTGATGATGATGATGAAGATGAGGATGATGACGATTCTGATGACGATGGCGATGGCACTGGCCGTCACGATGCTCATGATGTCACTGTCAAAAGTCTTATCGTGTTCATGGCAGAGTGTATGCCAAAATGAGGAGTCTGTGGCGAGGATTGACGGTGACGTCGGTCCGCAGCTAAATGCGCAGAGAAACCCGCGCAAGCCGTCGCGACTTCCGAGCCGGACCTTGCACTTTGCGCTCCCACAGGCGGGACCTTAAATAACTTAGCTTGAAGACAAGCTGGCAAGCCTAGAAGGATGCAGTGATACATCACCAAAGCTCTGCAACCCCAATGCCTGGAGAGCACATGAAGACATGCGCCTGCGGCCACCTGACATGGCACCGACGGCGGAGAGCTCCGCAGACTGGTGCGAGAAGCCAGGGTTTCCTTCGCACGAGGCCGCACCCGAAGCATAATTTTGCAATCAGCCCTAGGGACCCTTATCCAGGGCTTTGTGCCAAATGCTGCATTGTTAGGAGCGGCAGTGTCCGTTGATGCTGTGAAAGGAGGAAGAAGGCATATGCCGGAAGGAATCAGAAGGGGGCACCGTCGGTAGCCGAGCCGGTCATAGTTTGTCAATCCAAGAGCCTTGAAAGGTGGCAATGCCTGTGGCGAGGATGGTCTTAGCTTTTCCATTGCAGAATTCCTTGTGCCCCGCAGTTTCGTGCTCTTCTTTGTTCGCAAAGGCGCCTGCTATGACCCCCAACAAAATTCGATGCGTACATGTAGGAGCAGATCGACAACCCACGCTGAAGCAAGCAGTCCGAACATTTTCGCTGCTAGGGATCGTGGATTCGAGCGACTACCCATGGGCTACCAGAGTACTGGCGGCCCGGCATTTCTTAACAATTTCGATACTCTCAAAGAGTCAATACTGTCAATACCCGTTGGGCAGGGGACAAAGCAGTACGAGTGGCTAATTGCGAAATCCACTGACAGAAACCATTCTGTGTAGTCTCCGTTAAGCTGACATGAAGCTGCATCTCGGGATGGCTCCGTTTGTGTCCTGAAGGGATTGGGTAAACAATCGGCTTGCGCGGGTTCTTCTCCCATGTGGGTCATGGTCGGTAAGGTATTGGATGGTTGCCCCGTGTTCAGGTGCAAGAGTTCTTTGCAACGTCGTTTTAAGGAGTCCTTGCTTTCTAAAGCCGCCAAGCCAAGGTACCAGGAGGGACATGAGAAGACCCGGAACGGCCCTCCTCCGCGCATTTCTATTGGAACACACGAGGATGCACATATCAGGGCCTGCGCCTGAGAGATGTTGCAGACATTCGGACTTTAAGGGGCAATGAAGCTCTAAGATGCTTGCTCTCCTTCGAAGGGGGCTGTAAGGGGTCGCCAGCAGTTGCGCTCTCTCAGGGCCTTCAACATAGCCAGGCGCGACATGCAAGCCTGATGTAAAACAAAAAGGGGCAATGAAGTTAAGCTGGAAGCATCAAATATGCGGATTTCTGGTCTCAGCCGAAAGTCTGTCAAGGAGGAGAGCATGACTCCAATTTGAACCGCTAGGTGCTTGGTCGCTAGTTTCAGGCGGCTTTGGAATTCATGTTACGCGTCCACTGTCCGAACCAGTCACAACTGCTTTGTGCCTGGTTGGCTGTTGATGCTATCCTCACGCTCTGCGAGCTGCTGCAATTGCCCCTGACTGAAATCTGCTCATCTTCAGCTCGATGTTTCGACATGCATCCAAAAACTAGGTCACGGCGTCAGCCGTGACCGCGGGGTTTTTGCGGATTGAGGGTTTGCACCGTGTTTGGGGAAAC